GATAGATAGATAGAAAGACAGACAGACAGATAGATAGAAAGACAGATAGATAGAAAGATAGATAGATAGACAGATAGGTAGAAAGACAGATAGATGATAGATAGATAGACAGACAGATAGATAGATAGATAGATAGAAAGACAGATAGATGATAGATAGATAGATGATAGATAGATAGAAAGATAGACAGACAGATAGAAAGACAGATAGATGATAGATAGATAGAAAGACAGATAGATGATTGATAGATAGACGGACAGATAGATAGATAGATAGATAGAAAGACAGATAGATGATAGATAGATAGAAAGACAGATAGATGATTGATAGATAGACAGACAGATAGATAGATAGATAGATAGAAAGAAAGACAGATAGATGATAGATAGATAGATAGACAGACAGATAGATAGATAGATAGATGATAGACAGACAGATAGATATAGATAGACAGATAGATGAAATCTAGATAGAAAGACAGACAGACGGATAGATAGATATATAGAAAGACAGATAGATAGATAGAAATACAGATAGATGATAGATAGAAAGACTGATAGATAGATGATATATAGACAGACAGACAGATAGATGGATAGACAGACAGATAGATGATATATAGATAGATAGTTCTTTGTAAATGCTCTCTGCCTAATATCTATATTTTAGTTGGAAGTGTTTATGATGCATGATATGAGTCTGTGTGTGTTTGTGAATGTGTCTTCAGGAGGATGGTGGACAGTGAAGAGTTTCGGTGAGATCACAGGCACAGTGGCTATTGAGATGCACAAAAAGTCCTTCATTCATGCGCTGGACACTGGCCTCTTCACTGTAGGAGCTCCACATAAAGGTGCTGATTCTGTTTGCTTCATTAAACTCCTGAAAGTTATGTTGGCAAAACAGATCTTTTAGCTTTGCTAAATAGATTCACAGATATATCTTACTTGTTGTCTTATTTTGAATCATTTTTAAATAATAAACAGGGTGGCATTACCTCCATTCCCTGAAGAAAATATATTTTTTTGAGAATTAAAAGTATATTCTTTAGACCAGTGCTTCATTTAATGTATAATATAATGAAGCAAGTTTTACAATTATTTTTAAACATATTACTTAATATTTAAGTAGTTTTAAAAATTCACATTCAAAATCAGTTAAGCACATGTATGCATCATATTTCTTACTGTGTTTTTTTAAACTCATGTTTCCTTAAAATGTTTTTGGCTAGTTGAGCAAGTTCATAGTAAGTTTAAATGACATTAAAATGTCCACAGTCAAATCTGTAACCTTTTTTTGTGAATTTCAAAACAAGCTATAACTAACATTATAAATGGACCTCAATTAACACATTTAAATAATCAGACAAATTAAGGTAAACATTTACAAAAATGGTTGTGTGTGTAGGATGGCCTTGGCTCATTAGTGGACACGGTTTGTGATGAGCAAGTGCATTAATATAGTGATGAGTTAGTTTAAATGAACTAGAACATTTATTGGAAATGAAATGCTTTATTCTTAAGGCCTATGTTTTAAAATACACCTTACAAGCTCTATCTGCAGTATTTTCGGGCAACAGGCAAATCTCTGCAATTATACCGCATTGTATTTTTTTCAGCCATGCCATGCAGTTTTTATATTGTCTTTTAAATTGAAAAGGTCCCTCTAATAGCGCGGAACAAATAAGTCTCGAAAGTAGAGCTGGCTAGGTGCTGCTGTTTCTCTTTTGCTCTCAGTGTGGGATTTAAAAACCTGAATAATGTTATGGTTGGTCAGTCGCCAATACCGCAGCCGTTCATGCAAAGCACAGAGCAATTTCATAGTTCAGTCACCAGAAGAAGTTGTGTGCGATTTGTTTTTCTTTCCAGCCTCATTTTCTGCTTTTCACTGACCGCTGGCTGTAAGGATCGGTCTCTACATCACTCTGGAAGCACCATGGAATTTGTGCACGCTCTCTAAAATCAATTTAATTTAGTGGTTGAGACCTGAAATTAGTAAATGAACGACTGTAACTGTTGTTGACACCCAATTCATGACCAGTGCATCTGTATGATTCCCACACCTCTCCAGGCGAAAAACATGGATGCACACGTACGCTACTCAGTAACTTTTTGAGCATATCATTTGAAGGCTCTTGCAGAATTCAATATCTTAGCTAATTCATGAGTTTATCATGCCCGCGGAGCAGATAGAATAGATTGTCAGCTTTCAGCATTACTCTTTCTTTTGTTCAGTCATTCATGGTTGAAAAACAAATAACTGTTAAAATACTTCAGGACTTCAGGCAGTATAATGAGTTGAGTTACAAGACTTAGTTCTCTGTATTTGATTATCTTATAGCAGCACTTTCCAGCATTGTTTCATATTCTCAGCTCTGAATTCTTTTGTGGAATGGAAATGCTAGATTCATCTCCAGTAATAGTGCAATTATACAGTAAATATAGACTACCATTCAAACATTTGGGGGCAGTAAGATTGATTTATTTTAGGAAATAAATACTGAAATAAATTCATACTTTTACTCCGCAAGGATGCATTTACGTTAATCCAGATAGACATTAAAGACATTTATAATGTCTAAATACTGTCATTTTGACCTTTCTATTCATAAAGTGTCCTGAAAAATGTATCACAATTTCCACAAAACTTGAAATCAACTGTTTTCAACATTGATAACAATAAGAAATGTTTCATTAAATCAGCATTTTAGAATGATCATGAAGACTGGAGTAATGATGCTGAAACTTCAGTATTAATACAGCTTGGCATACAGGAATAATAATCCACGAAATTAGCTATCTTTTTTTTTACTGTAAATATCAACTAAATGCAGCCTCGGTAAGCATAGGAAAAGACTTTAAAAAAAGTTAATTAATTTTAAAAAAAATCGTACTGCCTTCAGAGTTTTGAATGGTAGTGTAAACAAGTGAAGAGTTAATTTGCAAAAAAACAATAACTCCATTTTTATTTTATTTTTTTAGAAATCACGAATATCAACTAAATGCAGCCTCGGTAAGCATAGGAAAAGACTTTAAAAAAAAAAAGTTAATTAATTTTTAAAAAAATTTAAAAATCGTACTGCCTTCAGAGTTTTGAATGGTAGTGTAAACAAGTGAAGAGTTAATTTGCAAAAAAACAATAACTCCATTTTTATTTTATTTTTTTAGAAATCACGTTTTTTTTATTGCGAATTCCAAGTAATATCAATCAAACTGCAGTTGGGTTGTTTTGATTAAGTAATAATAACAAACAAATACAGGTAATTTACAAAATTAAAGGTCATTGAAAGTGTTTTTTTTTTTTACATATTAAAAGTTTGTTTTATAGCAAAAGCAGATAACTCCAACAGTCGTTTTTTTGGGCAAAAGCAGATAACTCCACATTTCATGTTTTAGAGTTTAAAAAACACTTGTTTAATCTTTGTACAGTAATCTCCTCAGATGACAATGTAGATGCCTGACAAACGGATGTGGATTACATGCAATACACAGAGCTTTTCCCTCACCATTGTAACGTGCTGCTTTTGCAAGGTTCCGTGAAAACGTTTCAGCTTTTATTTTCTTTTTTCACAGGTTCATCAAGTTCGTCAAAATTATCCATCCTCGATCACTTTTAGTCAGCTAGCACGTCTTTTCAAGGTGAAAGTAGCCTTGTCACCTGACCTGAATATAGCTCGCTGATTCGCTAAAATGGACTTATCGGCTTCTGTTCAAAAACAGCAAGGGCGCTTGTCGGCTTCTGCAGAAAAACGTGAACTCACGATGTCTTGAACGTGGAAAAAAACGGCTTTTTTGACAAAACATGTTTAGGGTTCAGATCGCGCTATATGTGGAGAATAATGCATGGCAATCAGCTCATTTTTTTTTAAAGTGGCGTTTATCAGTTTTTGCAAATGAACTCTTCAAGTTTTAAAATATGAATGTTTGTGTTTGCAGACGATGAAGGCCCAGATCCTCCAGAGCAGTTCACTGCCATCAGAGTCTCAGATTCCAGGTAAAGATCATGACCATATCCACAATTTGAGTTGGATTACTGAAATAAATGAACTTTTCCACGACATTCTAATTTATTGAGATGCACCTGTATAACTACTGTAGGTGTCGTGAGTAGTGATGGGATATCAGTGTTCAAGTGTTCAGTAAAACGTAGCAAACTGGCAGCAGCTGCTTGGCAGCACCTTTAAATGCATAAGCACCTTGTAATGTTCTGTAGCTAATTAAGTTATTTTGATCATGTGACAATTTTTTTTCTTATTTGTTTTGCTGGTGTGTAGGATAGCGCTGAAGTCAGGCTATGGGAAGTATTTAGGTTTAAACTCCGAGGGTGTTGTGGTTGGTCGATCGGATGCCATCGGGTCCAGAGAGCAGTGGGAACCAGTGTTTCAGGATGTGAGTGAATCTGCCAATCAAATCAATTCACCAGTCACAATGAAAATACTTCAGTTTGTATGAATGTGAAAAACTCTGATACATTAGGCTGAAACGTTTTGAAATTCAGGTTTTACCATTTCTTTTTATTTTTGTTACCATAGGGTAAAATGGCCTTACTTGCTGCAAACAGCTGTTTCATCTCGTACAGTGAGAGCGGAGACATAGTGGCCAAAAACAAGACAGCGGGAGAGGAGGAGATAATCAAGGTGAAGCCCTCCTGAACTCACAGTCCACACCAAGATGAATTGCTTAAGTGGGAATTTTTTTGTTGTTGTCTGAAGGAAATGATTCAAGGCTTTTTTTTAGACATCCATATCTTTGCCCCTAAAAGCTCGACAAACATTTGAGAAATAATTCAGTGAGAGTGGCCAGATTTGGCCACCGCAGTGCACAATATATATTATCTGAACACAAGTCTATCTGCTGTCAAATTATAAAAACAAATTACACCTTTTTTTTCTGGAATGAAGACCGTAAACAATATTTTTCATGCTTATCTGTTGCCCACAGATCCGTTCATGCACAGAAAGAGAGGTGAAGAGGAAAGACGATATTGCAGATGAAGACAGGGGTGATGTCAAGAACTGTGAGGTCAACTACGTGTGAGTGCTTGCATTTATTACCTGCAGTAAGATACAGAAGCTGTGCTGTTTATTGAGCATACAGTGAAGTAAATGTTTATGTGAATGCTTGCCTACAGGAAGAAGTTCCAGAGTTTTCAGGATCGGAAGCTGAGGGTGAATGAGGAAGACAGCGGTACGCTGAAAAAAGCCAGAACAGAAGGAAAATTCCATGAGGCCCTGCTGGACAGGTGAGACGTCTGACTTCAGGAGGAAACACTCATACTGGATCATACTGAATAATAAATGACTGTAGCCGGCTAATTTAGCTGATCATCCTGAGATGGAGGAAAAGGTGTCAGATTATGTTGATATACCCTACTGGGTGATTTATCATACAAGATGGTGTTTGAAACATTGTGAATATGAACATATTTCTACGTTTACAGTGTTAAGTGATGTATTATCATATGTTTATAAGAAATCATGTTTTTTGTTTCTTTTTTAGGAGAGCCAAGATGAAGGCTGACAGATACTGCAAGTGAAACCAGAAGTGTTTTTTTCCCTTCCTCACCATTATAATTTTACATAGTCATGGAATCTCTGCCTTTTTTTGTAATAAACCTAGTCACTTCACAAGAAAATCTTTTGTTGTTGTTGTTTTTAAATAGCCTATCAATTATATTGTTACAGTAATTTGTTAAATTACAGTCATTTGTTTAATATTGGATTGTACATTTGATTGCTTTCCCAAATTAAATGGATTGTAAACTCAATCTCAATTGCATTATTATCCAATTTTCTGTTGCATACAAAGAAAAGAACGATTAATCTATGGAAAACGTGGTTCCTTAATGTTTCTGACTGAAGTCAATTAGTGTTGATGTGGGGTCATTTTGTGGGGTTTTAATATTTATGTGAGAATATGATTAATGTTGAGCCACATTTGCAGATATATTGAATAATGAATATTAACCCTGTGCAGTTGATAACGCTTTGAGATTCACACGTAAAATGATTTTGTACTTCCACTGCAATGTCATTGCAGTTACATGTGAAATATATCGAAGATAGTTAAATGTAATGTAGACTTTTGCGCACTTTGTGTGATTAAAAACTAGTTAAAACTATATGCTTGTTGTTGCACTTCCGTCTACAGCCGTTAGATGGCGCGATGCAGTCGCCTGTTTGTTTCTCGGTCTGCTCTGGTAAAACTGCATTCTTGTTCTGCGGCTGTTATTTCTGCTTACAAGCCTATTTAATAATAAAAAGATGATGTAGGAACGACTTATGTTACAGCTTAGTAAAATAAAACGGGGACAAACCCAAAGACAGAAAGTGCGAAGTGGTCTTTTATTCTGTAACTCGTTGTTATGGTAAGTCCCGGTGTCTCGTGGGTTTGCGCTGATCACGAACCGTCACGAGTATCATCGGTACTTCTGCGCTCGTCTCAGCATGATCCCCAAATTAAACCTCTGCTGTTTTATTCTCTCTTTTGTGTTTATGTGCTTGTCTGCGCAATATGTCCCACCGGTAAGTCACAAACTAGAGTTTGTACTGTTATTTATGAAAACAAATGCTTCTTTCCCTGTTGAAAAAACAGCATATGCTGGTTAGGTATGTTTTGATGCTGGGATGCTGGCTTAAGCTGGTCCTTTGCTGGTTTATGCTGGTCCTTTGCTGGTTTAAGATTGTCCTTTGCTGGTTTATGCTGGTCCTTTGCTGGTCATGTGCTGGTTTATGCTGGTCCTTTTGCTGGTTTATGCTGGTCCTTTGCCAGCACATGACCAGCATAAACCAGCAAAGGACCAGCAAAGGATTTCCCTGTTGAAAAAACAGCATATGCTGGTTAGGTATGTTTTGATGCTGGGATGCTGGCTTAAGCTGGTCCTTTGCTGGTTTATGCTGGTCCTTTGCTGGTTTAAGATTGTCCTTTGCTGGTTTATGCTGGTCCTTTGCCAGCACATGACCAGCATAAACCAGCAAAGGACCAGTATAAACTTGTGAAGGACCATCTTAAACCAGCAAAGGACCAGTATAAACTTGTGAAGGACCATCTTAAACCAGCAAAGGACCAGTATAAACTTGTGAAGGACCATCTTAAACCAGCAAAGGACCAGTATAAACTTGTGAAGGACCATCTTAAACCAGCAAAGGACCAGTATAAACTTGTGAAGGACCATCTTAAACCAGCAAAGGACCAGTATAAACTTGTGAAGGACCATCTTAAACCAGCAAAGGACCAGTATAAACTTGTGAAGGACCATCTTAAACCAGCAAAGGACCAGTATAAACTTGTGAAGGACCATCTTAAACCAGCAAAGGACCAGTATAAACTTGTGAAGGACCATCTTAAACCAGCAAAGGACCAGTATAAACTTGTGAAGGACCATCTTAAACCAGCAAAGGACCAGTATAAACTTGTGAAGGACCATCTTAAACCAGCAAAGGACCAGTATAAACTTGTGAAGGACCATCTTAAACCAGCAAAGGACCAGTATAAACTTGTGAAGGACCATCTTAAACCAGCAAAGGACCAGTATAAACTTGTGAAGGACCATCTTAAACCAGCAAAGGACCAGTATAAACTTGTGAAGGACCATCTTAAACCAGCAAAGGACCAGTATAAACTTGTGAAGGACCATCTTAAACCAGCAAAGGACCATCTTAAACCTCTTAAACCAGCAAAGGACCAGCATAAACCAGCAAAGGACCAGCATCCCAGCGTCAAAACATACCTAACCAGCATATGCTGTTTTTTTCAACAGGGTTACTATTATCCTCGTATCAACTTAAGTTATAACAGGACTGCAGTAGATTGTTTATACGTCAATGCGATGTTTTATAACCTAGATCACCAGTGCTGTTGGCATAGAAAATCTTAACTGAATAACCAGCACAACTCCAGTGAATTAAATGACTAATGTTCACATTTCAGTACACAGAAGAGTGCCGAAGTGGCATGTATCCTCCAAACGGCCCAACGTGAGTATGACAACTGAAATTATGAATTATACAACCTGTAAAAACTGCTGTCAGAGACCAAAAATGTTAATCTGTACAATAATTACATGTACAACAGGTGAAAAGGCAAACCGTATCACAGGAGAAAAAGGGATATGTAAAAATAATTTTAAAATATTAATCGCGATATTTCCAAATGTTTTTATTTGAACAGCTTATTGATCAAAGATGATGTTTACATTTACATTTAGTCATTTAGCAGACGCTTTTATCCAAAGCGACTTACAAATGAGGACAATAAAAGCAGTCAAAACTAACAAAAGAGCAACAATATAGCTGGCCTGGAAGACAAGAGGCAGACAGTGTCTAAACAAGACGTAAGAGTGGGAGCAGAAACTATCAGTAGCACGGTTAACATCAAGAGATGATAACTGTTCAGGAGAAGGAAGCAAAGATGAAACCATAGCAGACAGCCGGGAGGGTGAGAGTGAGCGTGTTAACTTATGTTAATAAGAAAAATTTATAATTTTTAGTTTTAAAGAAGTGAAACAAAGTCAGGTGTTTTGTAACAACAGAGCGGCAATGTTTCATTGTTATGTAATTGCAAAAGATGTATATTATTGTATCATGTATATATTATATTATTACCATAACATTTATATTACAGTATCCAATGTAATTTTTTTGTGCAAAAAGGTTTATTTAAAAATGTATTTTATTTTTTATTTTTTGGACCAATTTAAAGAAAAAAAAAATCTTTTAAAGTGTTTTCATCATAGTTCATCTATAAATCTACGAAAACTTCATTTTCTCTTAATATGAATGATTTCAAATGTAATTTTGAATTTGTAATTCACATTGAAGGGAGAGAATAAGAACGTGTATAATCTCTGGATCTTTTAGATTTAAAGGGGATGTGTCCTGGTATACTGTTAATCTGGATTTACCACCAAGCAAAAGATGGACAGATGTCATTACAGACAAAAAGAACGATGTGAGTTTATATCATTATACTGGTTCAATGCTCTGTCTATGAATGTACTTCTAGCAACAAAAGAACTGCAAGTTGTTTTGCCATGACAGACTATTCACTTGATTATTAGAAGTCTAGTTTATGTATTGGTGAACTTTTATGTGAACTGTGAACCGAAATGTAAGTGAAATCCTTGAATTCCACAAAACTAAAACCAGATGATCTTGAGCAGCTCTCGGTGAACATTACTCAAGAGCTCATGTGCTTTGCCTTTAGATGGTGAGCATGATTCAGGCTATCAGAGATCTAGCAGACGCCTTTGTTCCCAGTGGAAAGCTCATCGATCTAGTAGATAAGGATTTGGTGAGTTATTAAAGAATCTCATCAGTCGAACTATATATGATAGGGATGCACCGATATGAACATTTTGGTCGATACTGATAATTCTTTATTTTTGAAAGCCGATAACCGATATGTTGGCCGATAAATCTATATCCAAATTTTTATATACTTTTTGAGAGCCTGATTACAAAAAAGTTCTCATCATTAAAACCCACATCCCAAACACTTCAACATAAGCAGCCTAGTTTTAACGGTGTACGTTTTAAAAATAATTTTACACTCCCATTACCAAATTTAGTCTTAAAAAAGTCTTACAAATAAATAAAATAATGCATAAATAATGCAAACAAGTCACTGGACATCATTACACGTGTAAAGAATCAAAATGAATGCGCCATAGATCAATAAAATGGAATAGCCTCTGCACGGACAATAATTAAATGATTTTAGTTACTAAACCATATTGTTGATGAAAATAATAAGAGAAAAATAAAAGTGGTGTGTGCACTGCTGTTTGAGCTGCGTGCGCTGACCTAAAGATGGGTGGTAAACTGAAGCGTTCTTTTAACTTAACCAAAGGCATTCTATACGAGATAAATCAGATATACATCAAATAAACACAATAATACAACATACAATTGCACAAAAGGCTGCAAACGAACAGCGCGCATCTGAAGTGTCTCTGAAGGAAATAATGCATTATTTATTGGCTTTAAGATATCGGCAACATTTTCTTATCGGGCCGATACCGATAACAGAAAAAATTAGCATTTATCGGCCGATACCGATATGGTGGCCGATATATCGTGCATCCCTAATATATGATGCTTAATCATGATTGACTTATGTATATTACAATCTTAAATCTCATATTTTGTCAGACATACTGTATACCTGTCACCGTTCATCTACATGAATAATGTAAACAGTAATAACTCTGCCTAACAAGTGTTTGTCCCCAGCCCTTGATGGTGGACACCCTGCCTTACCCGTTCAATGAGGAGATCAGAGGAATCGCATCAGTGTCTGGTGTTTCTTTGGGTATGAATGCATTAAAACAATACTATTATGTTTAACACTGTTAAATAAAATCTATATTTAAATCACACAATCACCTGTTCTGTGACTCAGGTGAGGTGGTGCTCTTCAACATATTTTATGAGGTGTTCACCGTGTGCACGTCTCTGGTTGCAGAGGATGTCAATGGTGAGGATATCATCAGAGATAACATTATTTTCATTTTTTAAATAATATTTTATAATCTATATCTATGTTATAAAATATCAGATACCCATTAAATGACATACAGTACCAGTTTAGGGTCAGTAAGATTAGAAATCAATACTTTTATTTAGTAAGATACATTAAATTGATCATGTGACAGTAAAACTTTTATAATGCTACAAAATATTTATATTGAAAATATTTTTTTAACCTTCTATTAATCAAAGACTCAAATTAATCACTGTTATAACAAAATAATAATATGAAATGGTTTGAAAATGGCATGAAATGGCTTGAGCACTTGATTTCACACGTAATGACACTGAAGACTGGAGTAATGGCTGCTGAAAATTCAGCTTTAGCATCACGGGAATACATTATATTTGAAATATATATTCAAACAGAGTGGTGCTGGTATGATTTCAGAACCCGGAAGAATAATTGGCCACTGGCTCCTTAAGAGATTTTCCTATGGTGTTTTATAATGGGGTTTTTTGATTTATGAGTGAAATAAAGCCTGTGGCAAACATAACTTGATGATACTTTGATGTTTTGTTCTACAATGCGTGCTTGATATGGGAGTGTGTAATTTGCAAATTTTGATCGTAATGACACTGAAGACTGGAGTAATGGCTGCTGAAAATTCAGCTTTAGCATCACGGGAATACATTATATTTGAAATATATATTCAAACAGAGTGGTGCTGGTATGATTTCAGAACCCGGAAGAATAATTGGCCACTGGCTCCTTAAGAGATTTTCCTATGGTGTTTTATAATGGGGTTTTTTGATTTATGAGTGAAATAAAGCCTGTGGCAAACATAACTTGATGATACTTTGATGTTTTGTTCTACAATGCGTGCTTGATAGGGGAGTGTGTAATTTGCAAATTTTGAACTAGTTATGTTTATTTTTGAAAATGTATGTTTCTAATAAGTAATTAGATGAGACAGCTTGGGATATCAGCGTGTGCAGTTTATGTTGTAGAACAAAACATCCAAGAATCATCCAGTTATGTTTACCACAGGCTTTAAATTGAAAAAAAAAAAACATTTATAAAACTCTATTGGAAAATGTCTAAGGAACGAGCGGCAAATTAGTCTTCTGGGTTCTGATGTCATACCAGCACCACTCTATAGAAAATAGTTATTTTAAATTGCAATAATAATCCATTGCTTATGTTTATTGTTGTTTTTACACTCATTTTAATCAAATAAACGGCCCCATGTTGCAAGGATCTGTACACAATTCCTGGAAGCTGAAAACATCCCAGTTCTTGCATGGCCAGCATACTCACCGGACATGTCACTCATTGAGCACAACCGCAGACCACGCAGAAATAGGCCTTTTGTGTACATAGAAAAAGTCTTAGATCTTTGAGTTCAGCTCATGAAAAATGGGGGCAAAAACAAAAGTGTTACGTTTATTATTTTGTTCAGTGTATATATATACTGTATATATAAATATTGAAATCAAAACATGAAGATTTCATATTGTTCCGTGGTCTGCTCTGCTTACAGATGGGATTTGAAGAACAGGTCGTGGATCATCCCAGAGAAGCTGAAGCCACTGGTTGTTAACATTGACTTCAGACGCAACAACCAGACTGTCTTTAAATCAACTAATTTTGCAGGATATGTGGGCATGCTGACCGGGATTCATCCAGTAAGGACAGAGCTCAGATCAGTATGAGCAATCTGAGATTATTATACGAGAATGGATTATAAATCATGGTGACAAGTGTCAGAATGACCTTTTGTCTCTGACATTGTTTTTAGTTTGGCTGCTGTAATTTAGCAGGAAGGAGAATTGTGAAAGCATGGAGTCTCTCAGTGTCTCTCTGTCTTCTGTCTTCTTTGTAGCGCTCATTCACCCTCACTATGAATGAACGATTCACTTTGGATGGAGGCTACATCGGTAAGCCTTTGCCTGATATTTGCTGAGTCAAATGAGGCATTGTCAGAAATATGTTGAAGCTTTATTTCTTGAGGATTTGCAGGTTTTTGTTTTATTTGCTTAGATCTTTGGTAGATGCCTGTTAAGTTTTATTGTGAATTACAGGGATTCTGGAGTGGATCTTGGGGAAGAGAGACGGCATGTGGATGAGTTTTTTGACTCGTTCTGTGTTGGAGAATGCAACTAGGTTGGCTACAGATAAATATATTAATATATGCATTACAATGCTTTACAAATGTAATAAATGTATGTATTACTTCAAATACACATTCTGGTGCATTGTTTTCTGAAATAATTGTAACTGCAATCTTTTGTAATAGAGTATAAAGCATTATTATGCATTTAGAATCACTTTATAAGTTTTACCCACACACTACAGTCAAAAGTTTGTACTTATGATTTTTTTTAATGTTTTTGAAAGGAGTCTCTTATGCTCACCAAGGCTGCATTTATTGGATGAAAAATACAGTAAAACAGTAAGCAGCAAAAACATTGATAAGAACCATATTTAATAATTGAGCACCAAATCAGCATATTAGAATGATTTCTGAAGACTGGGGTAATGGCTGTTGAAATTTCAGCTTTGCATAATAGTTTTAAAATATAGTAAAATAGAAAATAGTTATTTAAAATTTTAATCATAATTCACAATATTACGGTTGATGAGAATGAGACTTCTTTCAAAAAAAAAAAATGTTTCTTCTTCAAAATTTCGACCGGTGATTTATATTTTTTGTTATGCTTATTACTTTATTTATTGATAATGAAATATGAAACAAAAGAATCAGACGGATGTCTCTTTGGCTTATAAAGATGATGATAATTGGGATGCCGTGTTCTTTTAGCTATGAAAGTGCCAAGGCTCTGTTGTCTGACACAAAGCTGCTGGCTCCAGCGTACTTCATCCTCGGAGGAAACCAGCCGGGTCAAGCCTGCATTATCACCAGATCCAGAACACACAGCATCAATCCACTGGAGTGAGACAGCATTGCTATTCTCTACACATAGTTAAAAGAACATGAGTGAGTTTGAAGTTGTCAGTATTTCAGTTTAACATTACACTTTGTGTGTTTTTCAGGCTTGATGTGAAGAATGGCAGGTGGTATGTGTTGGAGGCTAACTATGACCACTGGAAAGAGCCTCTGTTTCTGGATGACCGCAGAACTCCTGCTATGAAATGCATGAATCAGACCACACAGGCTGTGAGTGTGGACACTGCAAACATAGACCTAAACTGGTATTAAAAAAAATACTCTAACTTAAAAAAAAAAAAATGTTTTATCCTTTCAGGATATCTCCATAAAGACAGTATATGATGTGCTGTCCACCAAACCAGTCTTAAATAAAGTAAGCTCATCATCTTTTACAGTGTTTCATATTTCATTTTCTGGCTTGTCTAACACTTATCTTTATGGTGCTGTACAGTTGACCACATACACTACTCTTATGGAGGTGTCTAAGGGAACATTGGAGTCTTATATCCGTGACTGTCCTAACCCCTGCATGCCGTGGTGAGGGACTCCATCTGGACAAGCTGCATTACTGTGACGGTCTTCTGTACGTTTAGGAAAAATGTCATTCATATTTTAGCGGTTTAAAAGGTTTGCAGTGTCTGCTTTTGAAATCATATGGGCATTGTTGGGTTTAATCAAGGTTTACCTGTCAAACAGTTACAGTAGGGCAGCCTACTTAAAGGGATAGTTCACCCAAAAATGAAAATTTTATGTTTATCTGCTTACCCCCAGGGCATCCAAGATGTAGGTGACTTTGTTTCTTCAGTAGAACACAAAAAAAGATTTTTAACTCAAACCGTTGCAGTCTGTCAGTCAAATAATGGAAGTGAATGGAAATCACGGCTTTGAGAGTCAAAAAATGTACAAACAAAAGTAAAAGTGACGATACATTGATGTGTAAAGACACAAAACGATCGGTCTGTGCAAGAAACTGAACAGTATTTATATCGTTTTTTACCTCTGATTTACCGCAATGTCCAAACTGTCCTGAGCATGTTTGCGTCTTCTTCAGCCGGTGCCATCTTCTTGCTTTACGGCGGATCGCAGACTTATAAGTGCATTACCGCCACCTATCTCTCAAATAGACCATTGCCACTCCTAATTGAGATTGTAGATAGTGTCAATGGGCCATTTGAGAGATAGGTGGTGGTAATGCAATGTTCTGAAGAACAGTCACCTACATATTGGATGCCCTGGCGGTAAGCAGATAAACATCAAATTTTAATTTTTGGGTGAACTATCCCTTTAACACTTGTCTAAAGATGCATGTAATGGAAACAAAATTAACTGCACTGAGAATTGATATGTATGACAGATTGTACAAAATATTTTTTTCAGCCAAATTTTTGTGAATGTGACTGACATTTTTGTGTGTTTTTTGTAACCACATACTAGAAAACAGAAATGTGCACAGTGGAACAACTTGATAATCAACCTCATCAACTCTGTTAACTAACAAATGCATTAGGGGAAAATGATCAACCTTAAGTGCTTACACTTAAGCAGTAGACAAATTTACACAACTAACATCACTAAATCATGGAGATACAGTACTTGTTGTGGAAATAATGCACTGAATCAGTGAACATTTTGCTAAATAAACACTTACCAAAGCAGGTTTTCTGCAAATGGGATAAATAGAGCAATCACCACAGGAAATGGTAAAAATCAACATTTTATTTATTTTAAATCTCAGTCTAAACATCAGAGAATTACACGAGGTGAAATGGGGTGAGAACCCAAGCACTGGCCAACTTTCCTTAAAAAAAAAGTGAAATTGAAAGCAAGAGAAAACATTTAAAAGATTGCAATAAGAGATGACAGGACAACGTATCAGTGCTAATATGCGATTCTGCTCTATCCATTACACATTTCACTGTGCAGTCTGGGACGTGTCAAATACATTTAAATAGGGATATTGTTTTTCCAAATGTGCTTAAGTTTTGTCCTGAATCAGAGGAACAAACTTCTATTGTCCTTTATGTACTGCATTGGCAAAAAAATGCTAGCGGTCTGGGAAGGAATCCTAGAAAGAAATGCATAAACAAAAGCCAAACCATGCCAAACATAGGAACACAAAAATGTTTTGCATCCCTTAAACCGAAGCTTTTGAAGGAGCTTTTACAGAGATTTCTGGCTGAACAAAGAGAAACACAGAAAATGTACTTGCAGTCTACAGAACAGCTTAAAGACAGCCCCTACAAAACATCATCTCCTACATTCCCAATAAAACAATCAGAATAAAAGTACTTACAAGTGTAGAGAGATCTCTTGAACTGTTAGATCACATGCTGACAGGCTAATTCACCAAGACTTAGCTTAACTGTTGTTTTCAAGAATCTTACGTTATTAAGCTCATTATACAGTAATGTTGCATGAATGATGGTTTGCAGTGTAAGACGGATCAAACGATCATCCTCATGCACTCTGGGCTCCAGTGGTTTCTGGGGGAAAAAAATACATATTGTTCATCCATCATAGGGATCTGCTGATATGCAAATCATTGTAATTCAGCTATGAATTTCAATATCCAATACATTTTAAAAAAACAATACATGAATTCTTAAATTAACACATACAAAACAAGTTTTGTTCTGTTGAACAAAAATTATCACCTTAATCTAATTTTACATTTTGAAAATTAAAATGAAGTCTGAACAGATAGCATATGGTTTGAGTGACATTTAATAGTTACCCGGCTCTTTGAGTGCTTGAGCATTTCCCACCAATCCTGTAAGCTCATCTTTATTTTCATTGAGAATTTCAGCTGTTAAGTTAATATTTTGCTGCTTTTCTGAGATCCTCTTACAAAGCTCCTCCTGTGCAAATTACAAGCAGATTTTTTTTAAAAAGCAGCATTCTTTGGAGATGTCTTGTACAGTTTTATAAACTAATATGCAAACACGACTACTAGATCACTCAAGCTTTTACCTCACACAGAACAGACATTTGAAGAGGAAGGTCCTCTACTTTCACAAAATCTTCCTCATCTGATCTCTGGCTTGTATTTCCAGATCCTGCCTCCTATATTATAAAAAAATCGAACATAATTCCTTTTTTAAAAATCAGAGAAAAATAATTTGGTCATTCTAAATAAACGAATCAAAGATGTTTGATGAGAAAAGATGATCTGGGGTTTGCAGTGAGAGTGAGACATACATCAGTGTTGATCATGACTGGAGACTCTGTGTCGGGACTGGCTGTATCTGAGCTCTGTGGTGTTTCCTGGGCTGGTGAAACAGTACAGTCCTCCTTTTCTCTTTCATCTCCTGAACCAGTTTTTGCCTCCTCTGGAGGCTGAACCAAGTCTTTGGACTCAGATTTTATGCTTTTCACTGTTTGAAAATGGGAGACAAAATGCAGTGAGTTGAGTGTAAAAACCCCAATAAATGTTTAGGGTATAATAAAGAAAAAAGGCATACATTGGCTGCTTTCTGAGTTTTCTAGGTCTGATTTGGTTTCCTGGGGGACTTCGTTTCGTAAGGCAGAGCCCTGGAACAACACAACAGGTCATTATTAGTGTTTGTCATTTGAGCAGAGTCAGATTATTTGCCCTCTCGTATGAACGCCAACACACCTGTCTGTGTTCACTAGTGTTGTCCATGCTGGCTTGTAATGATGTTTGCACCTCAACAGGTCCAGCTTCAAACTCCTCCATCTCCTCCACTTCATTTTCATCTTCTCCACTGCCGTAGTTGCATAGAGCCTGTGTCTCTGCTTTAGATAGGCCTAAAATAAAGACCATACACATAACACACAAGTCAAACAGATTCTTATCAAAGTCAAATACATTACAGAACAGTCTCAACCTGTAGACGATAAGACAGACAACCTCCAGCAAACACTCTTAACGGGTACTTTTGAACAGTCAGAACAGTAAACACACAATGCACCATAGATGGCGTTTTAGTGACACCAATTAAAAGGAAGAACATGTAATCACTTGAAATATTACATTTTTACATTTGGATTTATTCAGGAAAACAAAGATTAAAAGTCAAAAAACTTTCTAAAAGACCATATTGATACTGAAGACTGGAGCAACATCCACCATAAAATCCATTTTGAAATGTCAAAAAAAAAAAAAAAAGGTACATTTATTTTAAATTGTAATAATATTTCACAGTATTGCTTTTTTGTGTATTTAAATAAATCCAGCCATGGTAAGCATAAGTGACTTCTTTCAAAAACCTTAAATAAAAAAAACAGAACCATTTTTTAAAAACAGTACTGTACATTTATTTACAAAGCCAAGCTAATTTTTTTCAGTTTATTTTACTGTCTGTCTGTTTCAGATAAACTCACTTATAGAAAGAGGCAGCCCTTCTCCCTCCTCTTCTTCCACCTCAGATGCTTCACTGCTCTGTGCATATTTCTCCTTGTCCTCTTCCTTCTCATGAAGCGTCCCTCCCTGCTCAGTCTCATCCTGATCCTAAAGATAAAAAAAAAAGTAAATTTTCAACATTCAAAACATTTAAGCTCGCAATAACAACAACAAAAAAACATAAAACCCAATAGTTGAACAACAGCTGCTCTGTTTGTTGTGTGAAATCAGTGAAGACTGGGACTGTGAATTATCAAAGACGCGATCTGAGGGAATCGCCGACACGTCGCCAACGCCCGTGAAATATTTGGCATGCTAAATATCTGGAGCTGTCGCCGATTCACAATCACGCTGTGTGAAATGATTTCTGACTGAAAACTACATCGGCGATGACCTACAGCCAATGAGAGACCAAGATACAGGGCAGCGGGAAGTTCGGGAGGAGTTTTAGACCAGAATATCAGTATTTTAATAGATATATGAACAATTATATCATACAGAAACAAGCACAAACATTTGCTTGACCAGCCACAACATCAGCAAAACATTTACTGCAAAATTACTTACCTGCAACTCTCTTTGCAGAACACCCAATCCCTGTTCCCTGCATCTCCCTCCTGCATAATCTGTTTTTCTTTTTCTCCTTGTAGCTGGAAATCAGCTCACAGACAATTTGCGGGCTATATATATATATATATTTAAAATAATTAGTCTTGCTCACGAGAACTCCGGTCTGACGCACGCGGGTTCTCGCGTTATTTCCTTATCATTTCTTGCGTGTGTTTTGTTGTGAAACGTAGTTTGCAGACCAGACAGAGCTGTCGGCGATTCTTCCTATTGTGATGTCATGCAGTGTGAAACCCCCTGTCGCTGATCCATGTGAACACAGCAGCAACTGAATGCTACCCCCGAAAACAACGGCGATCCGACGAGTTTGAAAATCGTGCAGTGTGAACTCAGCATTAGTGTATTTATGTGAATGCTGCAAGTGTATCAACAACTATAACTTACTCTGTCTTCATCAAAATATGATGGGGAGAATGTCTTTTCTCTCTCTAGTGTTTTCGCCTCCTAAAAAAAAAAAACTATTTCCATTAATCATTCTCCTCACAAACACAGAAGCATCATTACTGGCACACATGACGAAGATTAATCACTCAAGCCTACCTCGGTATGAGGTGAGTGTTTTGGAGATGTGTGGTCAGAGCGTCTATTGGTTCTGTGTTTGTTTTTAGAGGTGTTCTGATCTAAATCCTGCATCAGTCTGAAGAAAGCAAGCTCATTAAAGAGGATCTCAGAGATCTCCACCAGCAGGTCCTCACCACAGTCCTGCAGCATCCGCCCAACAAACTTACTCAAGGAGTCCTGTGCACAAAACCAAGAACTTGTAGGCTGCGATCCAACTAGTGGCCTTCCTACATAGACTACATTTTAGGGCATCACATGCTCAAATATTCAAGCACATTATGATTCTCAAAACTAATTAATCGAATTAATTAGTAACTAACTAAACTAAAAAAAAAAGATCAAATAATTATTTAAGAAAACAGTCAGTAAACTAAAAAAAAATTATAATAAAAAAAAGAAAAAAAGAATAGAAGCTAATTACATTAGGACAAACAAATTAAAACATTATAAATGCACTTACCTGCAGGATGCCGCCCAGCTGTCGGTGGAAGAACTGAACAAACTCTTTGCTTTCATCATTTTGCTGAGTGAGTTTGAGCACCATGCGTCTCACAGATGTGAGCAGCTGGTGTGAACACACCTCCCCAACATGCTCCTGGCAGAAAGACATTAGCAAAACAGCATGTCTACAAACTGCAGTTTTGACGGTTTATTTATTTTTAAATTTAAAGAGAAAAGTAAAGCAAGCTCACCTTTAGGAAAGGAATAACTTCTGTCATGATGGCTTTAATCTGTCTGTCAAGCTGTTGTGTGTCAATCTGAGGACAATGTGCATCTGTAGATGAATGTCCAGCACCTAAAATCAGACAATGAGACAAACACAAAAAATTCATTAAAACACAAGTAGATCTACTTAAAGGGGTATAAAACCCAAGCATTCATTATATGTATGTTTAAAGCAAGCAGAGCTTTAGCCAGTGTTAATTATAAACATTCCACCCCCATAATCCTTAATGGCAAACTCTCAGAAAACCTAATGAATGGGAAATTGATCAAAATGTCCTTCTCAAGTAGGACTTTTTTTCTAGGTATAACATCAAAGGCCATCTTTTCTAGGACACAAAGTTGCAGCCTGTGAAAATCAAGACTCTGCCACAAGAGTGATACACAGTCATTAGATTGTAAAAAGCCTGGATTATTCCTTCCAGAAAGAGAATCACTGACCGTGATTATCTGTGCAGTGACAGTAGAAGCCAATGTCAATCATAAGATGCAGCAATGCAATAAGGTGTCAAGCGATAAAAGTCTATAACCAGTCATTTGCTAGCTGTTTGGTTTCTATTTCTATGCTGTCATGTTGAAAATCTCCTTGTATGGAAACTTGTTGCATTTAGGGGTGCAAAAATGGGGTATGCAGTATATGCAGCACATGGGGCGCATTTAGCTAAAATCATTCTGTGAAAATCTTCTTTAATAAAATATTATCAATAATCAAAAGCTTATTTGTCAAAAATAATGAAAAGAAACATTTTTACTGAACCTTAAATGAGTTCAAAATGTATTTTATCAAATGAGTACATATCAACCTTCGACATGACTGTCACAGACAGTCACATGACTGAAATGAATAGAGAGAAAGGGGCTCAAAACAGAAAAAGACAAAGGGAATGCATTAAAATAAAGTGAACAAACAGAGATTAATAAGCTTAACCTATAACCATACCTTTTGCAGAAAATTGCCATTTTGAATTAAAATAGTTAAAATAAAAAATATTTTTTTGTTGGGGCAACACTGATCTTGCATACCCCTCAGGAAAATGTGCAGTTGCGCCCCTGGTTGCATTGCATCTGGTAGGGACACAGTTAGAAGCTCTTGCAACTGAATGCTGGGTCTACTCTGCAGTCTAAGAGTGTTCACAGCAGTACCTTGAGTGAGTGCTGAGGTGGCAGCAGCAGCAGCAGCTCCAGGGCTGTGCTCAGGGTTATCTGTGTTACACTCAGCCCTCAGCTTCATGCGCTCATACTCCCTCATCCTGGCCAATGCCTTATCTAAATGAATTACTGTGTTACCTGGAGGAGCAGGAAGGAAATAAATGGAGAGAGAGAAACATAACAGTATTCAGACCAGCACAGCCCCAGCCCAGCAAAGCGAGCATGATTGCGGTAGCGTGATGCATACAGCTTCTTACCCAGGTCATCACTTGCAAAGGGTTCAAGGTTGGAAGAGGTGGACAGCAGGCTCTCGTTGTCCATCGAGTCTCTATCTGCTACCCTCTTCAATACAGAGTTGGATTTAACGGTTACAATCTTCTCAGATAAATCCTGGAAACATCAGCAAAAAATTAGCTTGTGTTATAATTAAAGAGAGAGAGAAAAAAAACAAAAACAAATGAGGAAGCAAATGTCTCACATTGTCACTGGTAGCCAAGCTCTCACTAGGTGTGAGCTCTGACTGGGAGCCTGTGGCCCATACGGCCGGACCCAAAGATGATGCCTGCTCATCTGCCACACTCTTCTCTGTCAGGTGCCTCGTTACAATGTCCTGGCGGTCAGAGCCAACAATGAAATATGGTAATTATACTTTAAAAACAGAGGCAGTCCTCACAAAAGAAAACCTTACAAATACAAAATTATATTGATCTGTTGATACAGTAGTAAAAGTAGCCCCTTGGTATTAAAGCCAGGGGCTGTGAAAATGTAAGTTTTTACAATTTCAACTATTAACTATACAGACTCTTTTATACCGGGGCTCTGTAAAAGGTATTAAAGAGGTCATAAATGTTAGAAATCAACACAATTATAAAAATGCAAAAAAAAATCTATAATAGTAATAAATTGTTAATATATTAAAAAAATAACTGTGTATATTAGTAAAAACACACACACATATATATATAAACATATATTTATGTGTGTGTATGTATGTATGTGTGTGTGTGTGTGTGTGTGTGTAAACATTCCATGCCACCTGCATATTTGTTTTGTACATTTTGCTCATTTGATCATTCTTTTAACGTTCTCAGGTCTGGGCAACACATTTTTTTCATTTAAGTCCATTTTGTAGATTTTCTCCATAATGAATGTAGAAATCGTGGAAAACCATCCAGTCTCTACATGGGCCTGTTGTGTCAGTAGAAGTGTGCACAGTTTTAATTGTTGTGTACTGTACCTGTAGTGAGTAGAGTGCCCTCTGGCGCAGGTAGTCTGTATTGAGCAGCTGAAGCTCATGGAAAAGCTCGATGAGGAAGTGAGGGCGAGACTCATTCTGAGAGATCAGAGTTGCCACCTCAGAGTAGATTGTCTCTCTCAGGGCCTCAAACAGAGAGAAATCACTGCTCACGTCTAGAGACGAGAATACACACGGAACAAAATGAAAAATGAACACAGACAATCTACTGTAACTCTTCAAGCATGTCGAGAGTAGATCAAACAACTGCTGTATGTGCAAACTAATTATACAAAAAAAAACCTACTGGAAGACATGTTTTACATAGCAAGACCTTGAGTACTGAACTGCACACAATGTCCAAAAACACTGCTCATTTTACAATTAAGAAAATTTAAGAGATGTTTTTTGTGTGTAAAACCACACTCAGATGCATAGTTCTGTGACTTCAACTCAAAGGCAAAGGTATAAAATATCCGTAACAAAAAGACAATGGGTGTGAATGGTGTTAACAATAACACAGCAGATGTCCTCCCCTTTTTCTCCCCCAATTTCCCAATGTTCTGAAATAACGATACTGGACAATAGAAATTAACTTTATAAAACTCAGTGGAGTTGTTTCTAAATTTATATTAGTTCTTAGTACTTCCTATGCATGTGGATGCAGTTTTTTAAAAATGGAGAGGAGAAAGGAGACAAAGAAAACATGCAGATAAAAAATAAAACGTTAACAAGTAGTTAGCAGGTCAAACAGCTGGTGAGCTTGGAGTTACCTGGGACTTCAGTGCATGCAATTCTGTTAGAGAGAAAAGGTGTTCTCCAAGCATATGCTGTGAAGAAACCAAAAACAAAACCCAAAATGAAATAACAAAAACAGAAAAAAAAAAAAAAATGAAATTGGTGAGGGCATGGAGACATAAGAGGTTTAAATGATGTTCAAATTAAATAAGTCAGTTTTCTTGCTATAATGTTGTAGCAGATGCTTCTCTGGTTGAAGAACATAATGGACACTGTATAACAAGACTGTTCTCATTGTTCTTCATGTTGATACGTTTAGTTTTATCCAGTGTTATCTGTAGCAGAACCTATGAAAAGGCATACCAGATGAAAGGTCATTTGGCTTGCTGTTCTTAGCCTTGCTGTCCAGTTTCTCCTGGGTGAGTTTGTCTAGCAGACCCTGGTTGAGATCTTTGTATTTGACCTGAGAGGAGCGCTCTCTGTCCTGATCAAAGTGAGAGTCACTTGAAACACTGTCACTGTCCAGAGATGCTGAAAGTGAGAAGAACAAAACTGAACTCCATTTGACTGAATTGTGGGACTTAAACTCTAAGGCTTCTTTTGCCTAAATAATAAATAAATAAAACTTTCCATAAACCCAATTAATGTGACTGAAACAAATTGGCTTTTTTAATGTGTTATTAAGCTGTAGTATGTTAACTTTAAATATACACACCTGTGTTCTTCCGTCCCCTGCCTCTCCTGCGGCGGCTCTTTGTGTTGGGGGTCTTGTCTCTAGAGGCCAGGCTGGCCTGTGCTGCAGCCTTGCGCCCTGCTCTGAAGGTCTTGGTGACAGTGGTTGGATCTGCCCTATCTGGAAGGCTGCTCACTGACTCCTGGGAGTCAGGTATGTAAGAAAGATCCCGGGTAGTGCAAGGATGAGGGATAGGAGAGGAGGAAGGAGAGTTCTGACTTGGATGGTCTGAGGTGAGGGTGGTTCTCTGACCAGAGCGATTCAGAGAGGAGTTTAACCAGCTAGAGTTACTAGCGTTGGCCACAGTATCAGGCTGAGATTGAAACCTATAAAGGGAGGGAAATAAATTACACTAGGCAAGTTTTTGTTCCTTTTTGTAGTAGGTAATTCTTGCATTTTCACCTGACTGTGTTTAAACTAATCATGATTATATCACCTTAATACAAAATACAAAACAAAACATTTGTACCGTTTCTCTGCGTTGTTGAGTGGAGATCTCTGCAGCGGAGGGGGGAAACTCATGTATTCCGTTTTGAGGGATATGTCTGGATCGTGCCGTTGATCTAAACTGGCCTGGTTCTGCTGGAAATCTCCTGCTGAAGAGGGAAACATGGGACTGAAATTAAAGCCTAAAGGCAGAAAAGAAGAGAGAAAGAAAAAAGGTTAGAAGTTAATTCAAATTGTTGTTTTTGTTAATTAGGTAATTTCACTAATTGAATGAGTCACAGACAGATAATAGACTTGCCAGTTGGGAAAGGAGAGAAGTTTGGGAGTCCAGGCATACTGAGTGTATTGACAGGTGGGTAGTTTACGAATAGAGATGATGATGCAGAATCACACGCAACATTTTGATTGTGCTGTTGTCCTGACAATGACTGATTCTGCTGCTGCCGCAACAGATCATTCAGAACCTGTTTCAACCTGCCAAAAAAAAAAAACAGTTAAAAGTTATAACAAATGAAAACATGCCTGCACTACCATTAAAAAATTTGGGGTCGGTAATAAATAAATACATTCTCAAGAGAGACAATAACATTTATAATTTATTTCAAATAAATTATGTTCTTTATATTATATTTTTAAACATTAAAATAGAAAAGTTATTTATTACTGTTTTTACTGTATTTTTTAATTAAAGGGGTGGTTCACCGTTTTTTTTCTAGGCTTGATTGTGTTTATGGGGTGCAGTCTAACACGTGTTAATGCTTCATTTTTTTAAAAACGCTTTATTTTTCACATAATTTACCTAACATTTACCACACCGCTCTGTCCCTTCTCTGAGAAACGTGCTGATCATTTCCTTCTTTTATGAAACCCCTCCCTTAGAAATAGGCGATGGGCTCTGATTGGTTAGCAAGCCCGGTGTGTTGTGATTGGCTCAACCGTCTCTAGTGCGTGTCTAAACGTCCCGCCTCTCACCTCAGCGGCATGTGCTCCGGTTGTATTGTAAACAACGGCGTCGTTAATATCGCTTATCAGTTTGAGCCCGATTGAGAAGAAGAGGATGTTATTGAAGAGGATCGCGCAGAACCTGTGCAAGCATGGCTTTTAATGGTAGGCCTATGTTTTTTGTTTGTTGTTGTCTCATACTTTTAGATACGCTGTTATTTGTAAATGCTACTGCTTATGTTAGCTTTTAATATACAGTTTTATCCTGATTAAAGCATTAATACAGTACGGCAACTGCACGCAGTACGCTTCTCATAGCTATGTGAAAATAAGTGTATAATTGTAACAATTAGAAGTTACTTGCTGTAGTCCCTACCAGCCGTTTTTGTAGGCATTAAACTGCCAGAATTTTAAAAGAAGATCCATTCGTTTGCATTGAACTTTCACCTTCGTAACTTTGCAGATATTGTTTATGCTCAAACAGCAACATTACACACTAACGTACGTTAAAAAAGTAAAATCGCAATGAACCACCCCTTTAAAAAAATGCAGACTTGGACAGCATTTGCAGACTACTTTTCATAAGTAAAAAAAAAATCTGACCCCAAACTTTTAAACTGTAGTGTATCTACATTAAATGCCTCATTTCTCACACTTAATATCTGACATAAATACATTCTTCTGATTGATATTCAGATTTTTAAAGTCTAAAGACACACCGATTAACGTTGTTCTGCTGCCAAGCCAGTTGTGTGTAACACTGGTTTAGTTGGTGCATGATGAGAGGGATTTGAGGAGAGGTCACATTATTGGGCACAACACCATAGGGACCAGCGAGCAGAGCCTGCAGCATGTATGAAAGAGTCTAGAGATGAGAGAGGGGAATAAAAAGGTTGTTAGTAGGGAAAAAAAAGTTATATTAGGGATGCACTGATACTAAATGTCTATACTGATAATCGATTGTTCAAAATGTTATTTTGCCAATAGCGATAGTTTGGTTTTCTTGAGAACAAATCTCTCTCAACTAATGCTGTAAACTATACAGGAAACCCTCTGATTTGGTACGTTAATATACTCTTTACAATTGCAAATAAGGCGGTTTCCATAAAAACTTGTTTTTGTGACAGATTTATTCAAACATACATATATATAATTAACAGTAAATAAGCTTAGTGTTTTTATAGCTTACTAACCAATTGTGGATAACTTATCTGATGTAAATGCAATGTTAAGTAACAAAGATCACAAGCTGTTTTATTAATGTCTTTCCACGGTTGAAACACTGATCGAGTGATTGCTTGAGACATGATACGTTTTGGAAGGTTGTTCTGAATCTTTCAACATACCTTCTGATGTTCATTTACATTTCATGCTATCAGTTGTATAAGAGACTCATGCTCCGCGCTGCCACTTGAGGCACAACATTTAAGAGCGTCAAAATGGCATTTATTGTTTGAATTTTGTTGAACCAGGCATGTGATCAGCTAGAGACAAAAAAAGCAGGAAAATCTGACCACGTCCCCGACACTTATTATTAAAAAAATATTTTTTAGCACATTAAAATATATATCTTATATTGTAATACATACTTTTATGCTGTAAAAAAATAAAAAGCAGAATTTAATAATCATGATAATATAATATAATATAATAAAAGTATTAATGGAATTGTAATTATTAAAGTACCTGTCAAAGGTTTGGAAACATTACAATTATTAATGACTTTGAAATAAATCTCTTCTGCTCATAAGGCTGCATTTATTTGATCAAGCTGATGAGATGAAGATGAAAATATCTAGTGGAAAATGAGAATGTTATGTTTTTAATTGTATAATTGTTCTCAATGTTTTGGCAGATAGACATTGTCTGATGCCAATTTGGTAGACATCGCCCAACCCTACTTTCACTTTCATTTAATTAACAAAGCACAAAGCTCTTTGCAATTATTGGATAGGAGGCATGCTACAAATAATGTGTGGTGAAGGGGGAAAAAAACGCAGACCTGGGAACCCTGGCTTGAACTTCAGGTGATTCATAGGGTCAAATAGAACCTGCATCAATTAGTGTGACTGCGTTAATGTGTCAACTTTTTCAGCCCTTACAGGTTTCTTCCACCCCTTTTTGATTGACAAGATATAATTGGCCCTAAACTTCAGCTGTTTTTAAGCAATCAGCCGATACATCCCTAATGTTGTACTCTGACCTGTTGGTCCTGTAGCAAAGTTTGGCACATGGTAGTGCTGAAGTTGAGCTGTTTCTGAAGGTGTGTGATCTGCTCCTGCCAGTGTGCTGGTGCAGCACCCTCAGAGAGAGACAGATCAGCCGCCCATCGTAGATTCTCCTGCCGTTTGGCTCTACTGGAACTTCCTCTCTCATTCTGTGGCTGCTGACGAGGACGACCCCTTGATCCACAGGGGGAAGGACTTCCGTTAACTTCCCTGTGAATTTTCAGACTTCAAGAATTGAAAAGACAGTTAATAACTGATGGGTTTGATGTATAGTAAAACTAATTGTGTGCCTGTGTATTTACCCATCTCTGTTATTCCTGCTATAGTTGCGGTGTTTTTGTGTGCAACCATGCAGCTCATCGGTGGAACTGGACTCCTCTCCCTCATCATGTTCAACGTCAACATCTTCCTCAGCCCCCACCTCAGAGGAGTAATCATCATCATCATCATCACCAAAGGGACACTGTGTCGAACCACCCCAGGTGGCCACAGTTCTGATGGAAAAATTATAATTAGCAATAGAGGTCGACCGATATGGGTTTTTCACTGGTTGATGACGATATTTAGAAATCGGGGCAGCCGATGGCCGATATATGATGCCGATTTTCTTTTCTTTTTTTTCCATACATCTCATAAAAGTGAGTTTGAGCAAATGATTATTGCAGGGTACAAGATAGTAATGGTAGTAGTAGCCCAATTTAGAGTAATAATACATGGCTCAAAACTTAAGCACCTTCTCAGAACAGTTCTGAAGGATGCTTTTTGTTTATGTTTGCTGACAGACACCAGTGTTTCCCACAGACTGCAAATTAATTCTCTGCCAGCAGGAGGCGCTTTGGGAGTTAGAGATATAGCGGTTTCCCCTTAAGCACTGCTCACAAACGCTATCAGGCATTACAGTAAAGACGAAATGAAAATGACAAGCTTTTCTGAAGACAGTAGGTTCTTTTCAAAGATACATTCATATAAAAACACCCGC